ATTTTGAGATATTAACGATTTTTGATTTTTTTCTTATACCGGGTATCATACCCACCGGGTACAAATAGAAATTCTCTAAAAATTAATATTTATAAAACTTTTTTTTATTAATTTGGTCCCTTTTCTCAGAACACGGCTATATATATACAGTGTATATATATATTGACTATAATACAGTTATTATTTTTTTAAAAAAACAATAATAATTAGAAATAACTATATTTAATCAGAAAAAAATCCACTCTTATGTTTTTAAAGTTAGAATGCAGTTTGAAGCCAAAATTAGAAGGTCTGAATTTTTTGTTAAGATTAAATTTTTGAAATTCTGAACATTATTATTTAGTAACCCTGACGTTAGCTAGTACGTTTTTGAGATATAGCATCCCCTCTCGGTGAAAATTAGCAATTGCCTAATAATCATATAATTGATAATAGAGGTGCAGGCTAATCGTGCCGTAACTATATTAACAGTTAAATAATTATAAAAGTTACGGCATGTTTGCTGTAACCTTTTATAATTATTTAATATAGTTACGGCACGTTACGGCATCATTGGGACGATTCGCCTGCACCTCTAATTGATAATATATATAGCAACTTCATTATATTTACTTTTTCTTTGTCTTCGAATATCTAATTATGTATTATATTGTATTAGAAATTTAAAAATCTATTTTACAATTAAAAATAGTTAATACAATAAAATGTAAGTAAAAACTATTATCGAATTATATATATAATTTATATAATTTTAAAAGTACACTCTACCCTTTATAAGTTTATTTTTTTTTTATTACGCGAATACTTGTGATTTTATTTGTTTCGAACTTGTGTGAAAAGGTCCAGATTTGCATAGTTAGAAGTTTCCGAATTATAATTTATATACAATGTAATAAAATTTAATTTTTACATGTGTGCTTATTGAATAGTAACATAGTGCCAATTCCCAATTCAATTATAAAATTACTTCACTACTATTTTATTAAAAATAGGTTTAGAAAAAATTCAAGAACTGGAGTTTTATTGTTTTTTTTTTTTTTTTTTGAATAAGGATTAGCATTTGAATTTAGCAAACTTAATTGGTCGGAACTAGGTTGTTTGCATTGTAACTCAAAATTTTGAAGTATTGTTGGTAGCGGTAGGTAATAGCCGATAAGTTAGCTTAGCCATCGACTCGGCTAAACTGGTAAATTTTTAATCGACTACAATTGCTAGCATTAGTCATCGCGTTGACATTTCCTTTGGTAAAATTTTAAGTGACTCTCTACGGGTGCATCAACTTCGGGTATTACTTCTCTGACTTTATCAAAGGATTCCATTCTGTTATATACGGCACGATATACTCCGAGATATTGTAAAGTTTTTCCTAGATATTGTACGACGAGTTCAAGATATTCGTCGGTGATACATTCACATCCAGAAAGTGTTAGCCAAGTTAATGGAGCTTTGCAATTTTTCAGAAAAGATTCAAAAGCTGTTGTAGTAAATGACCATTCTGATGAAATATTTAACCTCCGGAGGCTATCCGGTATAGATTGACCTATCGCTGGTAAAAAAGTTTCTGCATCCAAACTTGCTCCATAAATTGCCAAGTTTTCAAGTTGTTGCGAACTGCTCAAGAGAGAACAAATTGCAGACACCTCTTCAATACCATGAATTTGATTTGACTCAAATTTAGTAAGATTCGGGCAATTTTTGACAAGCGCGTTAATTACTTGTACTAAATATTTTGTACTCTGCGTGGAACACAATGTTACTTCGCGTAAACTGGTATTAGCATTATAAGCTAATGATGATACGATGTCAACGGGAATGTCAGAATTTGAGATATTCAATTGTGATAATTTGGACAATGGTGATTCCACCATTGGACTGCACATTTCTGTAGTCAATCCATCGCAACCATCAAATTCCAAAATTTCCAAATTCTTGCAGGCACCGATCCCGAAGAATGGAGGTTGGCCTTCAAATCTAACGTAACTTAACTTTAATCGAGTTAAAGTTTCGGATTGACTTTGCAAGGCTGCGATGATTCTTCCACCAGTGTCATGTCCATAATAATCACCATGAAGCTCTAAATCCTGTAAATTTCTTTGAGCTTGAATAAACGTAACCAAACCTTCTACTTCAACTTCGAATTTCTCGGTATTTCTACACTGCTTCTCATTATCCCATTCATATACTGGAAGATACGTCTTCAATTGGCATACACCATGACAAATTGAAAATTTTTCAAAATATTTACGCAGCCTTTTTCCAGTAATAGTTAATCTACGAATATGTTGCAAACAGGATTCGGCACCAGGGTAAGATGTGATATCATATTTCTCGAGCAACCAGGTTGCATCACAGGAAAATCGATAAATAGCGGGACATCGACTTACAAAAAGCTTCAATAATAATTCTGTAAGTATAAAACGACCTTCGGCACCAATACATTCATCCCTTCGAAGATTGCACCACCACCACAAATGGTGATAAAGACCTCCAAGGTGAAGAACACGCCGATACTTTGCATAGTCAAAAGTTGGCGGTGACTCGGTTGAAGGTGGAAGATTTAAGCCGTTATCGTTGAGTATTTGTTTTTCTTCGTCTGATAAACATGCAATGTATACCTCGACCAATTGTTTAGACATATACGCATTTGGGCTTCTCCATAGAATCGGTACAACTTCCTGACACCAGTGCCAATTAACCAAAAGACACGAGTGTAAAGAAATCTTATCCTCTTCAATACATTCAAATATTTTACGAAGGCAAAGGTTAGGTAGAGAAGAAGCCATTCACTTAACTTTTTTTAATATGTTTTAGATTATTCTTAAGTGGGTAAAGAAAGTTTTTATCAAACAATTCTTATAACTTATCTTTTAAGTCATGTGTGCAGTTGCAGGGGTGTACGCAAAATTACATAATTTTCGATTATCCATCTCAAAAAAAATGACATATCTATTTTATCGTATGCTTTTTTTCACTACGTTAATGGTCACACCTTTGGTAAAATGTAGCCACCATTTTTTTTTTCGGAATAAATATTTCGGTTAAATTGTATATATAAAGTCTAGCTAACATTTATATATACAATTTACCGAAAAATTTAAAGAAAAATGACATTTACCAAAGGCGTGACTCCTTCGACAGAAAAGTATGACGGGTCTTCTCTACGTGTCTTGATAGTACACACACGTTGGAATTGTGAGATCGTAGAAGCGTTAGTTCGTGGAGCAAAAGAAACGATGACTTCAGAATATAACGTGAAATCTGAAAATATTTCAATCCAAACGGTCGCTGGTTCTTATGAACTTCCTTTTGCTGCTCAAAGCCTTATTGGAGCTTCGAGAATGAGCCCCCAAAGTTTCGATGCTGTTATTTGTATTGGCGTTTTAATTAAAGGTTCAACAATGCACTTTGAATATATCGCGGAAGCCGTAAGTCAGGGAATCATGAGGGTTAGTCTAGACAGTGGTGTACCTATTGTTTTTGGTGTTCTTACTTGTTTGAATGATGAACAAGCATTGGAAAGGGCCGGCTTGGGAGACAATGAATCTAAACATAATCATGGAATTGATTGGGGCCGGTGCGCAGTTGAAATGGGTGTTAAGAATACTAGGTGGATGTCCGGCACTATTTAAATGAGGGGTGTATAAGTTCACGTTTAGCAATTTAAATTTTAATCTAATTTAAGCAATTGAATAAACTAATGCGAAATTGACATGTTTCGCATATTTAAACATGTGTATTGAATAGATGAGTAGACATTAATAGTAGATGTTGGTAGAACTACTATCCTTGCGGCATAAGGTTGTCAATGAATTGAGTTGGGTTGATTCAATTTTCAATTAGGCCTGCTCCGCATTCTATTCCAACTCAAGAAATTTGGAGCAATCTGGGCTCAGCCTGGAGTGGCTTCAGAATATGGCATTCTATTAACATTCTTAAGCATATGGGCTAGGTGCTAGAAAAGGAACGAAATTGACAAAAAAAAAAAAAGATCTTCGAAAAATCAATTTTTATATAATAAATCATAAGTAAATGCAAACTTTAGAGAGCTATACAACTACTTTTGTGTTTTAAGTGGAAAGTGATCCTAATCTTATTCTAAATTGATTTATGTAAAAAAAAATTTCTTTTGAAAAAATAGTCAATTTCGTCCCTTTTTCCAGCACCTAACCCATATAATAAGTATTTAAATAATCTGCTCGATTCATACGCAAATATTTGATATGATTTCCTGTAAATTTTGTAAAATTCAACTACGTTTCTTTGTTTTTCTATGAATTAGGAGTTTATTTAAGCCAATGCTTCGCATGACGAAATAAGGCACATGATAATTTGATTTTTCTGAACTTCAGGATGGTAAAGTTAACTATAACGATATTTCAGAAAGCTTGACATAAACTTTATTATAAATTTACAATTTCTATCTTTATTTTTTGTCTTCTATATTTACGATACTATTATAGCATCAATAACAAATAACGTGTGAAACAGAAACAGTTGCCGCACCTACCGCACTGGTTGAAAGACCCAGGGTCTAATACAAATACCCATACAAGATGCTTTCATCGATGTCGAGTGTATTTTGTTGGGGTATTTGTAAGGGCATATTATTTCGTATGGTGGCACTTATTTCGAAAGCTAAGATTGGCCTGATTTAGAGTTACATTTGTAGTAATTAGGTGTGGAGGAAATGATTGTCGAGAACATACCGATATGAGTGACGGCAAGTAAATTAACCATATTGGACTTAGCTCCTGCAAAATCGACACCGCAATAATTAAATGTGATCAAATACGTGTTAAAGTTGTTCGTTCTACTCGCATCGATAAGACATATCTGTCATCAAACTGGAAAAAAAAATATCTTTTTATGAATGATCTGGCGGCTTTCAAAAAGAGAGATAATAAATGCGTTCTAGAACTAAACACGTAGAATCAGACCGAATCCATTAAGGTGTAAATTAGTGAGTCAATATACCGATACAGATTTTCCATTATACGATATCTATATAATATAGAATTAGTGGTCAACTACTTCTAGCACTGGTGATACGAAAAATATCGAACGTACAAAAACTGGTATTATAAAGAATCTTTTAATCGTAATTTAATTAAAACCCGATATTCCTGTATCACAGAAATTGTGTAATGTGAATAATATCAATCAGAACGCAACATAATACAGTAATACAAATGTGATTAATCATAAACCCTATGACCGAGACTTTAGGTTAGAATCGTCCCAATGATGCCGTAACTTTGCCGTAACGTGCCGTAACTATATTAAATAATTATAAAAGTTACGGCATGTTTACCATAACTTTTTATAATTTATTTAACGTTAATAGTTACGGCAAAGTTACGGCATCATTGGGACGATCCGCCTGCACCTCTACTTTAGGTTGCCAAATTTATCATGTGGTAATGCAGTTTCACGTGCAAAATTACATAACTTTTTTTCACTCGACTTTTCACCTCTTTAGTTCTAATAAATGGCAGAAGAACTTGAAAAGTCGTCCTCACCAATTTCGAGAAAAGAGATCCAGCATAAAGTCACAGAGACGGACAGTGATCGAATATTCAGGCAACTATTACTTTTGATATTTTACGTTGGGACTGTTGTTTTAGGAACTTTACGAAGTATAATAAATCCTCCCCCCAAATCCTACTTCTCGCAAAAGGACAATTATCTTAATTTGTGGTTTGTGAAAAATGGTTGGTTTTGGACCTCATTGATATTTGTCTTATACTCCTGGAAGGTAATTCACCATAACAAGCTCGATCAACTTAAATGGTCGTTTGTTCGTTTGGGCATTGCAACCTTATATTGGTATCTTGTTACCCAATGGTTTTTTGGCCCTAGCATTATTGACTGGGTCTATGTCGCAACTGGTGGAAAATGCACTCTTGAAGGTTTGAATACACAATGGGCCGAATCTTATACATGTAAAAAACATGGCGCCAATTGGTCAGGCGGACACGATATCAGCGGCCACTGCTTATTGTTGATTCACTCTTCACTCCTTCTTTGGGAAGAACTTAGCGTTCTTTTACATCGTCCAGAGAGTGTGAAAAGGGCAAAGCAATATTGGATTTATACTTTATTCCTGATGTTCATTCTCTTTCTTTGGTGGTCTATGTTACTTATGACATCTATATATTTTCATAATTTTCCGGAAAAATTATCAGGAACTTTTTTTGGTGTCTTTTATTGGATAATAGCATATATTTATATTTTTCCATTGTTTGCAAGAAATTTGTTACCATATAATAAAGACCTTGAAAATACCTCCTCTTGACAACAAACAGTCATGAGTTATCATCTCACCCAAACCTTTTCATGAAGGCCTCTTACCCCTCGAATTTTTATCTTGCCATTATGCTATTATAGAGTTCAAAAGACAGTTTGATGTATAGGTTAAATGCATTCTTAGCTAATAATAATGCACGAACTTTATGTATTATAGCAAATTATTTATTATAATGAATAGTTTTGGCAAAGACAAAATGTCATTGTCATTTGACAATTTTTAATTATATTTAGTAAAGGTTTATTATTACTTTACCATACATAACTTTTCTATTATATTTAATATTGTGATTAGTGCGAATTCGTTCAGGGTAGTAACTAGAGTTGCAGGTGAAACTAATTAGTTTTACCAGTTGAAGCCGGTGAAACTGGTGCACATGTGAAACTTAATGGCCAAATTGGTGAAACTTGTAAAATTAGTAAAACTGGTAGTATTGGCGAAACTGGTAAAATTGATAAAACTATAGTTGATAGTAAAATTACTAAAACTATGTTTTAGGCAAATTTGTTTAAATAAAGTTATATTTAATATATTAATTTTTGGTTAAGGCTAGTCTCTTTGGCTTATCACTTTTATTAGGTGTATTTTTAGGATCATCGGTGCCTTCAGGGTTTCCAAAAATAGTATATTTTGACAAGAATATATATACTGTAGATATATATACAATTTTAGTTATTGTTATTTAAGGGTTTTGCTATACTATTATAGTTACTCTTTATATACTATATCTAAGATTTACCTATAGATTCTCTATTTAAATCCTCTGATCTAAGTTTTTTAATGCCAATTTGATATAATCTTATTTAGAATATAAGATAAATACTGTATATTATAGTATTTTATGTTTTTTAGATTATTGCAAATTATCTATAGAACAATTATTTTTGATATATCGAGTCCGGCCTTTATATGGAAGTGTGAGTCTGCTTTAAAGTCTTAGAGACCTCAATAGCAGGTTTCTTTTTGGAGATAATATCTAATAGTGTAAAGTTAATCAGAGAATTTAAATAGAGGATTTACAGACAAATTTTTAGATATAGTAATTAGTAGGTAACTATAGATAAAAATAGTGATGTTTTATAGAATAGGTGGGCAATATAAGAAATAAGTTTCACTAATGATTAGTAATCATTAATTTTTTAATAGTGGAGTTGTGGGGTATGCAGAGTTTGTTCACCTATTTTATAGAACATCCAAAAATAGATATAGCACTTTTGAATATTTTTTCAAATTAAAATATTTAGAATTTTATTAAAATAATCTATTTTAATTTTTTCATAAATAAATCTAGCATCTAAAAAAATCTATAATTATATATTTTTAACTTACTTTATTAATTATTTAAACTTGAAACATAAGTATAGACAGTTTAGACAATTTTGAATATTGAATATTGAACATAGTGTGAATATATCATATATATAACACTGCTTAATATTATAAAATATAAAAGTTAAAACATTAATCAGGTACTATATATTAAATAATCATTATTGCAAATTAGATTTTTATACTTTATATAACTATGGAGCTTTACATCTATTAATACTAGACTTTATAGTCTTTGCAGTATTATATACTTTATAACTATTAGCAGTATTATTACAGAACAGTTATGGACAATAAGTTTGGACATTTTAAACAATTTTGAACAATTAAATAAATTAAAATTATTCAAAATTTTATTAAGATAACCTATATTATTTTCTAAGTAAAATATGTCTAGCACCTAAAAAAAAATATATAATCATATATTTTTTAACCAAATTTATTAATTATTAAAGCTTAGATATACTCTGGACACTTGTAGACATCTGGACACTTAGATGTTGGACAGTGTCAAAAAAGTTTTTGGATAGTCAAAATGTATAACACTACTATTAGTATACTTAAATTATTAATTGAGTAATTATTGCATTGTTTTCAATTTCTAAACTATAATCTCACTAAGCAAACTCTAATTTGTATAGTTATTAAAGCTGCAATTAAATTTCTTATATTATAATACAAAATAGTGTCTATATCTATTAACTATTAATCAAATAATCACTATACTAATCTATAATTTTATTAAACAGACTTTATATCATATAATTACTGTTAATTTAGATAATATCCTTTCTAACTTTTTAAGCAGAATTAGTAAAACTATAAAGTTAGTCTAATATTATAAAGTGAGCAATAGTGAAACTAAAAATAAAATCTTCTTAATACAAAGTCTTTTTTTTTTTTTGATTTTAAGGTGACCTCTTAGTCACTGTCCTTTTATTCGATTATTGTTAACTTTTACAATATGGTATACACTATACCATACACATATTT